TGGCAGCGCTACCGGCCCCAAGGGTCCAGCGTGGCCTCCGGCGCCAGCGATCGGTCGCATAGGACAGTTATTTTTGATGGTAAGGTTTTGGACAGCCTCTTGCTTTCCTCCCCCAAACCAGGGGGTAGAACCCCCCGATTAGAGCTGCAGCACACGGATCTGTCGTGTGTTCCTGCTAATAAATCCAACCCTTCATTTGGTGACAATTCCACTTCATTCTCCCTCCCAGAGGTGTTTAGCCGCGTGTTCAGTTGTATGCACTCGATCGCTGCCATGGGAAGTGAAGAGGGGAGAGAGCCACGGGTACCCCCAGTGTGCGGAGGCTTGAGCCTTGGAGTTTAAAAACCGTAGTTTATAGGGTGAACGGTTTGGGGGTTTTTTTTCCCCCTGAAAATTCCACTGAGGACCTGAAACTCAGGTGTGAGTTTCCCCTTCCAAGATGCCACCCCAGCACTGCCCGCAGCTGAGCCTGGCTCGGGCTCCCGGGGATGGGTGGCCCGGGGCAGGGCAGCCCCCCAAGGGCAGAGCAGCCCCCCAGAGGCAGGGCAGCCCCCCAGGGCAGCTCACCCCCCGCGGCTGGGCTCCAGGGGGGTGGATGGGTTTCGGGTGAGGAAGGTGAAGAGGCACCTCAGCCCGGACGGGTGTCTGGATGCCAAAGGGGTCGGGGTTTCACAGGGAGATTTTAACCCACGGCCCACCATAGCCCATAAGCAGGGGGTCTCCTCAATTTGGAGACGTGTAGGAAGGCAGGCGAGTTGTAAAATCGCCTTCTCGCCCTCTGTTACACGCTCTCGTTTGTGTTCCGGAGGAAGGCCTCCATCCAAAAAACTGGATGCATTCCCACCGAGGACCACGGAGCTGATGGCTTGCTCCAAGGCTCCCTCACCTTAAGCTGCTGTTTCGCAGCTTTCCAAGAGCAGGAAAATAAGCTCTCCAGCAGCTGCTTCACCACCGGTGTGGATGTGTCCGACCCGTTTTATCTGGGCAGGTGTTCGAGGGCTGCCCGGGCAGGCGGACAGCGTATAAAAGCCTTTGTGGAAGGTAAAACTGCGGCAGCCCACAAGGCTTCTGGTTTATTACCGACACTTTCAATTGCAAATGAGAGCCTAGGAAATTTTATAGTGCCTCTCATTGTGAAGGTATCCCAGTAGTGGTTTATAAACAAGGAGTTAAGCAGCAAAGTACCGCTAATGATGAGGAGTTAAGAGATATTTACTGGTGGCCTGGCTGGAAATAGCATTCACATTCACGCTGCCTTTCCCTCCACCTCCCAGCCCAGCTGGGAGATTTTCGATTCCAGGTATGCGGGGTGGAACTGCTGGAGTGCCGAGGTGAAAAAACTGCACATGGAGGCGCTTGCATGATTTGACCCTGAATATTTAGGCCACCTTAAAGCAAGGTGCCGATTTTTCACATGGGCACAATTTATCAGGTTCCATGGTGAACCGGCCACATCAGCAGGTTTAAAACCACGGGATACGCTCGTCTCTCAAAAATAGTTAATCTTAACTAAAACCCATTCAGGGAGATGTATGGACTGGGTAGCACGGGATGCCGGTGCGTGTGAGCACGGCTTTCCTCTCCGGCTTTAAAATGTTGCATACAGCCTTACATAAATTTTCCTAAGTGTAACTTAATTATTGCAGTTAATTATTGCACATTTCATGGCCACCAGGATTCGTTCACCTGTCCTGTGTGGCCGAAAAGCTGACCCAAGGAAGAGGCAATTTTCTGCCGGTGTGTATGTCGGGATCAGCCGTGCAGGAGCAGCCTGGGACTGATCTTTACCTCCCTGTGTCGCTCTGGGGTGATGCTTTAGGAACTAATTAAGGATGGCCTCAGCGCCCACCGGTGTGCTCGCTGAGCGTGCAGGAGGTACGGCAGGAGGGAGAAGCCAACGCTGCTAAACAGTTTCCCAGATGGCAAACTGAATTCTTGGGGAAAGATGAGTGACGGGATCCAAGGAGAAGAGTTGAAGTTGAGGTACGTGCTCATAACATCCTGTTCAAACAATCACCAGGAAATTTGGCGGTCCCACCTCCTGGGATGCTGGTTTGGCTGCAGCGTGGCATGCAAGTGCCACGAACCCTCCTGCGGCACTGGCGGTTCTGCGGTCGGAGGCAGGCTCGGTTCTGCCAGCGCTCATTTTTGAAAAGGATTTGCCTAAATGAAGAAGAAGGTGGCGGGGTGATGGGCTGGATTAGTTACAGGGGTGGCAGGAGCAGGCTGGTCCCCAGCGCCCCAGGCAGAGCCCCCAGGGCCACCCTGCCGCAGGCAGGCAGCCTGTGTGCCCTGGCAGTGTCAGCCCCCATGGGTGCCCCTGCCAGGCCATTCTCATGCAGAACTGTCGCTGATCGACTCATCAGCGCTGAGGACAAGCTGAGGACAGCAGTTCCAGATATGCAGGCTGGCTCACTGCAAACACTGGAGTAAAAGCAGCAGCCAAAAGCGGTGGGACACCCACCCGCACATGGGGAAATCGGGTATTAGAATCCGTGCGCTCCCAAACGAGCCCGAGGATCGGCGGGCCCTACTTCAGGTGCATTTTTCAGCTTCATTTCACTTGTCAAACCTGGCGAGTGCTACCTGGGGGAGGGTCCTTGTTACAATATTCCCAAGAGATCACATCCCAGGGTGTCACCGTCCTGTTCTCTGACCCCACTTTCTATCCAAAGCTCTCAAAGCTCTTTGCATCACTCCAAGGTCAGCCCTGGAGCACCTTCCTGAAGCGGGCAAGTCTTACTTGTCGTTGCTGGCCTGAGAAAGGCTTGGCAAAGCTAAGAGTGTGTGAACGAGCCAGGGCTAAAGCCCAGACATCCTCCACCCTGGCTGGAGCTGAGCCCACCCGCCTTCTGTGTGTTCTGCCCATCTGGGGAGAACATCTCTGCATGGGCTGGGGGCTGGTGGGCTGGTGGGCTGGAGATTGCCAGCTGAAACTTCGGAAGGGTTAGTTCTGTTCCCAGGGGGGGCTGATGCAAATGGGATCTTGGAGACTGGGATTGCAGTTTCTCCTGCAGTTTCATGTCCCTTCCTCTTCCCCATCACTCTCTGCACCATTCGCTCCCAGGCAAACGTTGCTACAGGAGTAAATTATTGCCAGCGCCGCGTGCGAAGGTTGCGGCAGGGCTGGAGGCACCACTGCTGGGCTCTGGTTCGCTCCTGCCTTGCCACCGCAGGCAAACCCCTTCCTCTGCCAGGGCTCCCCTGCCCGTGAGTGGGGATGATAATCGATAATCCCTCACCCGATAATCGATAATCCCTCACCTGATAATCAATAATCCCTTACCCGGGGGGGGAGGAGTGGCTCGGGACCTGGGGTGGAGTGGGCTCTGCTGGCAGCTGCCCCCCGGAGCAGCGTTCCTCCCCGTAACCGTATCTGTGCTTAGGAGGGCGGTTTGGGGAGGCCTCGTCACTTCAGATTAGGCTGTAGCAGGCGTATCCTGTTTTCTAGGAAAAAGAGGATTTTGTGGCTAGCTTTGTTAGCGAGGCATTGAAGATTTCTCTTTGTGTGCCTTTGCGTTTGAAGTTTACGTGCTGGTAGCTGCAGACTTTCTACATGTTCTGGTTGCACGGATGACACTTATTTTTAACTTTATTTTTATTAGAGGGTTGTATCATGTGGTCCTGGCTAGCCCACAGGAAGGGCTAGAAACTTTGTGTAGGAGGGATAACACTTCCTATCTCCATGTAAACAGCAATTCCCCCCAGATGGGAAAAGCCAGCCCAGCCGTGCGGGAGGCTGGAGGCTGCGTTCCCACATGTGGCAGCAGGATGAGG